TTTGTCCTCATTTCTTTTCATAATCTTCAATCCTCTTTCCTACATCCTACATTCACCTTCCTCCTTTCTGAGAGAACCAGGACTACCTTGTCAATGAATAAATTATGGTATATCAAGATGAGTTTTAAGAAAGCCCCTTTGTCAACTTTATATTGGTTTATGAAAAGCTTTTCACAAGGGGAAAAAAGCTAATTTACTAAGAATCTAGAGAAAACATTCACCTTTAGTTACCAATGGCATAAAATATGTGTGAGTACATGTGCTTGTGAGCATTGGTATCACTTTGTTGTCTTCCATACATATGCTTATGTACATGTGTCCATTCAGTGAATTATTAGTTCAGTGTGTATTATTCTGTCCTTCGGTGTGTGGTGGTATTTTTTCAGATGGGAACATTTATTCACTCACCAATTTTGTCCTCTTATTTTCGTCCTGCCTTTGGGGTCAAGTTCACATAATGAGGAGAGTAAGAAGCTCACTTTTCTTCCTTTGAGTTACAAGGAGCTGATTGAGACAGGGGCACAAAAGTAGTGTGTTCATTCTGGAAATATGAGAATACATCTATGTGTTCATCAGTATACCAAAATGGCATAGTGATGCCTTTGCTTATGTGTGTGCTAGATTGTAGTCATAGTATTTAACTGTGCAGTAAGGGGGATAATATAGTTACAAGTCAGAAAGAGGCTTTAATAAACTAAAAGAAGATATAGTTTGAGGGCATGAGTCAGTGTGGTTGGCTTAGAATGTGGAAGTTTAGTACATAGTGACAGACAATTAGGTCATAATGGTTACCTGTTAGCCACAGCAGAATACTCTCTGCTCATATCATGGGCTCAAAAAGCAGAGAACAGCTGAGAAGCAGTGGTATACTGGAGTACTTTAAGGTTCCAAGGTGTGTGCCATTGAACACCTTTTAATATCCACCCACATTGAAGGTGAGTTTCCAAATCAGACCTTGGATAAATCCTTGGAAAGTGCCAAACAATGGTAACTATTACCTAATGCAAGGTTTCCTAATTTCTCTGAATACAGTCTGTGAAATAGCTGACAAAAGACTGTTTTTATTTGATGTCTTCATCCAAGACAAGCAAATTTCTGGATTGTGACACTTAAGAACTCAATGTTACTCACAAAAGGGTAAGTTTTTCATTCTTACCTGTATTCAGCAAAGTCTCACACCATTTCATAGATGAGACTGAGGTTGATGAAGGATGTGATTTTCTTGAATTTGGTTGCTGCCTAGGATAGTCTATCTGAAGGTATTTAAATTCTTTGAACCACAGTGTCACTACCACCTGGGAAAATTGAATTCAGTCTATGTTATGTTGAGCCCGGAGTCCTGAAAAAATAGCCCAGCTCCTCTACTCCTCACCATGACAGGATGCCTCTGTTGCATACTGAGAGGTCTTAGACACTGCCTCTCATCCCACTGTCAACGGATTTCTATATGAGGCTACTATACTATTCACCACCCAAGGATGTACTCCCTTTTATATTTTTTATATATGGTCTCTGAGCATTGGGGAGGCACCAATTTCATTAGAGGAATGTTTGAGCTAAATAGAAAGGATAATCCTGTATAATTTTTTAACCCATCAGTATTTCATTGACGCAAACTGTGAAAATCACATTTGGTTAGAATAATTTAAGAAAGTAGGGTTTCTTTGGTAAGAAGGTAAGACAGATGGTGTTTTTCAACTATGAACAAAATGAGTGAAACTAGGCAAGAGCAGCTTGATTCTCTAGGTAAAATATACTGCATAGCTGAATTGTTTTTACTGATGTGTAGGAGGAGGAGGACCTGCTTGTTCATCCCGGCCACCTGGCTAGCTTAGACCTGAAATAACCATGCGGAAACTGTATTATTTTAGTCAAAACTCAAAGCAATCAGGGGAACACATTTTGACTATTTTTGGATGGTACTCAGATTGAAAGAACAAAAACAAGTTTGCGTCTTTCTGTCTTTAAATTGTTAATTAAAGCTTATTTCCAACAAGTGCACCTTGTTTTATGGGTTGTAAAGTTTCAGGCATCAGGCAGGCTCTTTCACACATTAGAGTATACATTTAAAATATTGTCACTTGGGCTAGAGAGATAGCAAAATGGACCTGAGTTTAGATCCCAACACCCACATTGAGCGGCTCACATACACCTGCAGCTCAAGCTCCAGAGAACCCAAACACTCTCTTCCGGTCTTTGTTCTCATGTACACATAACCACATCATTTATTTCATTTATTTTTTTTTTAAATTTTGGGTGAGGGCTGGCTGGAGAGATGACTCAGTGGTTAAGAACACTTGTTGCTATAGCTCAATAAAAACAATTTTAAAAAATAAATTAAAAATTAAATTCCTTTCATAGAACATTCATGATCTCTTTTCTCACTAATTTTTGTTACATAAACTAATATATATTATATATAAAAGAAATTATACTTGTATATATATAATATTTTATGTAGCAATTTTAAATCCATATATGTTTTGATATATGTATATTAATATGCATTCCTATACAAATATATATTACTTTCTTGTTTATTTGTCCCTCCTAATTTTGGCATTCTTTATTTCTTCTTACTTGCCTCCCTACCTCCTCCATGATCTACCAGTCCATGCAATTCCTTTTCAAAAATGATCATATTTTATGTAATGGGGCTTTCTCTCTGCTTTTCTTTCTTTGTTTTTTTAAATAAGTTCTCTCTTTCATTTATTGTTTCTTTGTCTCTTTCTTTTTATTTATTTATTCATTTTGTCTTAATTCAGATGTTTTTTTGTAAATGTCCCACTTAGGGAGAGCTGAAGATTAAGTTAATATATACATTATATGTCAGAAACTATTTTTAAAAGCTAACATTCTGCAGTATTCTCTAAATATGTTGAATACTGAGAGGCTTTCAGCATTGCTTCATACAATAGGCCACCTATTAATGTACTTCTTTATAAATTTTGCAATATATATGTACATACACACATATATATATATATAAATATATTTGAATTTATTTATATACAAATGTGTGTGTGTGTGTGTGTGTGTGTGTGTGGTTTCTGATCGATGGGGTGGTATGTCGTCACCAGAGGAGTGTTTTTTGGAAAATATTTCTGTACTATCTGTAAACAAAACAATGTTCTATTGACTGATGCTGTGAGAAGGATTTATGTCTAGAATTAGCAATAGAAGTGGGCTCTTTATGGTAGCCAGTTAAGGGGTAGTATGTTTTGCAACATTGATCCAATTGATTGAAACTCGACAAAAGGAGCTTCACTTTCTTGTTAAAATGCTTTCCCAAAAGAGATTTTTTATTTATATACTCAGCACTATTCTTATCCCCCTTGAAGGATTTGAATTCAATTTAAACTTCATTCTTTGGGAGAAGATATGTGTTCTTTATGTTCTTGAAGTCTAGGTTTACTTAAATCTACTTACCAAAGTGAACAGTGGAGTTTCCAGTGCATGTATGAACAGCTCTAAAATTTTTGACCATGAAGATACAGCTATTTCCCATTTACTTTTGTGGACAGTTTTAACAGAAAGACAAAATTATAGCCATCCAGGCATCTATATATGACTATTGGACAAGGAACAAACTTGCCTGAGCTTCCTTACTCTTTTCTCCCAATAGAACATGGAGACTTTACCTACATAGAGCAACATACAGTATCCCTGGGTCCTTCTGGACTCGCTAAATCCTCCATTGATTATTGTGGTGGTCTCAAAGGTCCCTGTTATTTTGGTCTTTAACATTAAAGTTGAGGGCACACTGTTCTTTTGTTCAAAGTGAGAATTGTTTATTTTTGGAAGTTATTATGTGATTATGTTTTTTCTCCCAATTTTGTGGATGTAAATCTTCCAGAGGTTCTCCTCGTCTCTTCCTTTGTTGACTGAACTCGGGAGCTCTCATGGTTTCCTGGAGAACTTTTCTGTGAAGAGAGGGAGATACAGAGAAAAAAGAAAAAAAAATGTATCATTAACAATAAGAGAAATATGTTTTCACACAAAAAATGGATTTATGTGGTTATATGACATAAAATACAATATCATCTTCACACCCTAATAAAGAAAATAGACATTATTAAACAATACATCTTTAAAAGGTGTCTAACAATTCTTTTCTTTGAAATTAAGAACAATAATTTGTTAAATTTTTGCATTAGTGAGGTCTAATGGATTTTTCCCACTGATTATGCACATTTCTCAAGTACTAAGCTTCTACTTATTGATCTTCATTTCTCAAAAGACAGGAATCTTGCCCTTATTCTTTATATTAATCCCCAGCTTGTCTGAGATGTAATACACACTGCTACATTTTCTCAACTAGACAGAAAATATGTTGCAACATTACAGAAGAGACCTAGACGGTTACATGGATTCTGTTTCTTCAAAGAGTAAGCTGTTTACCTCAGGGAACTGAAATATCATTATAAAATTTATATCATTAGGAACACTAAGAGAGACAAAATACCCTGGCTAAAAGAAAAGTACGAGTAATGTGTAACTCACTATGGGAAGGTTCATGGTTGTCCTCTAGGAAAGCCAAGAGTAGAACAGTATCTGGGCATAGTACAGAAAACCCAGCCAGAATCCTCAGTTATTCTATGCGGTACTCCCATAGATGTCCACAAGTAACTGCACTCCTTCATAAGAAAGCATTCTCACAAAAATAGTGTGCTAAAAATTATTGAAAAAAATTCTTAATAAACATGGTAGAATGTTTATTGCATTGAGACTAGCAAGGTTTATGGAATAATAGCAAACTAATAGAAAACAAAGCACTAGTTCATTTGACGGTTCCAATATTAATTTAACAAGGTGCTGTTTTGGCTGAAAACAGTAATTAAGTAATTTCCCTTGATACCTAAGCCTAACTTCATTGAAGCCTAGGAGAAATTGAGAGTTGTATTTTTCTTCTCCCCTAACCTTGTTTATAAGACATAAATCTACACCCCTTTTGCACTTTTTAAGGAACAGAAAAGATAAAAGCTCTCAGTGACACCTTTCTGCTCATCTCAGCAGCACATACACTAAAACTGGAATAATACTGAGAAGATTACCATGTCCCCTCCATAAGGACGACACACAAATTAATGAAACATTTCATATTTATTAACAAAAAACCCTCTCAGCATCATTGGGGATGAATTATAAAAAGTGTTTGAAGATACCATGGAGATCAGATTTGTCCTCAAGGATGGGAAGAGTGAGGGATTGCTCATATTGAATTTAAGACAGAAGCTGATGTAAAAGAAAATTATGAAGAAAAGTAGGGGGCAGAAATTGATAGACAATGTGTTTCACTTTACAACCCTGTAGAGAAAGGATAAAGCCTTCTACTGCCATACCACTCTGAACACGCCCAATATCGTCTGATCTTGGAAGCTCAGCAGGGTCAGGCATGGTTAGTACTTGGATGGGGGAAAGGACAAAAGCAAGAGAGAGCTGGAAAGAGTAGCACTTGGAGTGGTGAATCAGAAACTTTGGTTGATGTAACGTTTTCGACAATGCAACAGAAGAAACTCTTCATAAAGTATCTGAGTAAGCAACTTTTATCAAAGTGCCCATAATTCAAAGAGCAAATTTAAAGGGCATGCATTTATTGAATCTGTTTCATTTGAAGATGTTAAAGAACCTATAAACTTCTGGAATAAATTGGAAATAAAGGGCAGAAGAATCAGGTTGGAGTTACAAGGAACCGGGGCATTGCCTATTGCAAGAAGTCAGCCACCCAAACCTCTGTTTGTCAAAGGTCTGTCAGAGCATACCACTGAAGAGGTCTTTAAAGAATCATTTAAGGGTTCTGTTCAAACAAGAATAGTCACTGATTGGAAACTGGTTCATCCAAAGAGTTTGATTTTGTAGGGTTCAATATTGAGGAAGACACAAAAGCTACCAAGGAGGCCAGAGAAGATGGAGAGAGAAGCCGATGGAAACAAACATGGGACTGGGCCAAACCTAAAGGTGAAGCTGACTTTGGTTGTCTGTATGGAGGCAGAGGAGGTTTTGGAGGCTGAGGAAGGGGTCTAGGAGGAATAGGAAAGTTTGCTGGAAGCCACAGACTTTGGAAGTCTAGGAGGATTCCCAGGTGGTAGAGGAGTCAGAGAGACTTCAAATCACCAGGAAAGAAGATAAAGTTTGAACAGTTTCTTCAACCCCACTTGTTTCCTCTTTGTTTGAAAGAAAGGACTCTGGGGTTTTCCTCTGTTACCATGCTGTGACAGAGCCTTGTGAGAACATTCCAATACAGTATGTAGCCATGTGGTCTATTTGAAATCCCTACAGATAACATTTCAAAAGAGATACCCTGTTAGATTTGACCAGCTATTCATATAAACTTCTAAAAATAAGTGATAGAGCTAACCCTTACCTGTACATTTTGAGTATATGTTGCTTCATCCCATGTACGAAAACATTTTTTCCTACAAATATTTTTCTTTTTTGCTTTCATTGGGAGCTATAAAGAAATATTTTAGTGGAATGGCTTTGAGTTTCTCTTCATTTAATTTGGGAGCATGGGGGTGGGGTAGGGGTAGGGGTGGGGCTGGGGGAAGGGGAGAGGTGGAGAGGGAAGAAAGAAGGGAAAGACTGGAGAGAGCTTGTGGGAATGGGAGGGTGGAGATGGAGGAAGGGCGGATATAGGAGCAGGGAAGAAGATATCTACATTAAGAGAGCCATTTTAGGGTTGGCAATAAACTTGGCTCTAGAGGAGATCCCAGGTGTCCACAGGGGTGTCCCCACCTAAGTCCTTGGGCAGCAGAGGAGAGGGTGCCTGAACTGGCCTTGCCCCACTATCACACTGATGATTATCTCGAATATCACCATAGAATCTTCATCCAGTGATGGATGGAGATAGAGACAGAGACCGTCATCAGAGCAACGGACTGAGCTCCCAAGGTCCAGTTGAAAGGCAAAAGGAGGCAAAAGATGAGCAAGGAAGTCAGGACCGCGAGGGGTTGTTCCATCCACTGATTCTGTGTGCCTGTAATAATGGGAGCTCACCAAATCCAGCTGGACCGGGACTGAATGAGCATGCGATCAAACCAGACTCTCTGAATGTGGCTGAAAGTGGGGGCTGACTGAGAAGTCATTGATAAAGGCACTGGGACTTGTTTTTACTGCATGTACTGGCTTTTTGGGATCGTAATCTATTTGGATGCACAACTTCCTAGGCCTGGATATAAGGGGGAGAGCCTTGGACTTCCCACAGGGCAGGGTTTCCTGCTCTCTCTCAAGCAGGGAGGGGGGCGGAAGAGGGTGAATGAGGGAGTGGGAAGGGAATGGGAGAAAGGGAGGAAGTGTAAATTTTTGAATGGAAAAATATCCTCCCCCAAAAAGAAATATTTTATTGTGTGCTTTTTTGATTCAGTGACTTTAGGGCAAATTAAAAATTCTATCCATTTAAAATAAAGAATGATACTCTAACATGCTCATCAATCTCTTTGATACACTTTGAAGATAGCAAATGACAAATGGCCCCAATCTCTGCTCTGGGGGTAAGTTCCTTTGGGATGTGAAGAGAAAAACATGCTGTTTTTATCATTATATTATCTACCCAATCAATCATCTGGTAACTTGATTCAATACAAAACATTGTATTTTTTTGTAAAATCATCATGTGTCCATTCACCACATGCACAACTGGTATGTGGAGAGGCTGTAAGGAACACTGAATCCCCTGGAAACTGAGTCACAGATGGTTAGGAGTGTCCTCCTTGATCCTTGAGGCCAAAATACTGGATGCAAATAATGTTTACGCTAACCAGCTAAGCTTTCTGCTAGTTTTGTCCTTGGTTCTGCTACAGCCTGGTACATTAGCCTGAGGGATCTATTTTACTTTAAAATGGTAATTTCTCAACCTGCCTCAAAGAAGCTCAGGCGCCAAGGCCCATCTAACCTGTCTGACATTGCCTTAAACCCTCGACCACCTGTCTGGGGAAAAACTCCCACAGAGGCCAGTTTCCCCAGCCCCCTCTGGGTGGGAGGAGTTTTCCTTTACTGGGGCCAAAGGTATTTTAACCCTGGATTTAGTTGAATAAAGGGGCATTCTCTTCTTGAGGATGACTGGAACTCTGTATCTATGTGTGTGCGTCTTATGTTTTAACCCCTAGGACAATATGGAACTCATGGGATGTGGGTGGCGTGGAAGGACCACCTCTACAGATGGAGGCACCGCTGGGATATGAAGAAGAAGCAGCCATGAGTTTCTGGAAAGGTAAACCTATGGGGTCACCCTAAAAGGAAAAAGGTTAGCCAGAAGGGTGTATTGGGATTTTGAAATGTAAGCATCTCTGTTCTTGTTTGGAACTGGGAGGCCTATTGAGGTCAATTGACAGTGCTTTTGGAGAAGCACCAATATTTTAAGGTAGACGGCACCACATGAGGGTTCATTAAGACAGTTTGCTTCTTGAGGTGATATTTTGCCTAATTTTTATGAGAGAATTCAATCCCTGGCTTTGCTAGCATGGGGCTTTAATTTTGGTTGAGGAGAACGGGCTGAGAGAGGATTCAAAAAATATATTTGTAAGTTCTATTAAGAGTTTTTGAGTAACAAAAGAACAGCTTCACAGAGCTTGTCTTTCAGGGAGACTAGAAAGCTCCCATGTATGTTTGAATGTGGGTCACAGGACCGCACTTGGTCATTCACTGTGGCTGAGGTTCTGCAAGGTACACTTAGGAGCAGAGACACAGGCTGCTGTATGGTGCAGGGAGAAGCGCGGGCAGCCGCCAGGCCCTGCCTGTGAGCAGTGGGGCCATTACAGACAGGCCAAGGAGGGTAAAACGCAGCGGTGTGCCAGTACATTCAGCCGCGGGTGCAAACTCGTCCGGAGGCACAGCCGCGCTGATCACACGCAGAAAGGCGACGCAAAAGGCAGTCACATATGCTGGCTCCCTAGCCCAAGGTGGCCAGTGAGCGGCGGGCCGCAGGGACCTAGGACAGGGCACAATGGCGGTTGTGGCGGCGCCTGAGCAGACAGATAAAAAGAGAGTGCTAGGCGGCCGAAAAAAGCGACAATAGCAGGCCTTGATGGTACGAAAAATAGTTAAAATCCGCCCGCCAAATCTCAGGTAACAGTTTGCAGCCGGAGGGAGCAGGTCTGTGTCCTGCCCCCTCCCTCTGCTGTGCAGCAAAGGCAGCTTTGGCGGTTTTTAGTGGAGACTGATAGATTCAAAGGTTTTACAGACCCAAAGAGGTTAGCTAAATCTTGGAATGGTTTGTTGCCTAATTTTCTGTAAATTCAAACTGTGCTAGTTTGCATTTCCACCAGTGGTGGAAGAGTTTCTCTTAAGTACAAGTTATGAGCAATATTTGATCTTAATCATGTTTAAGGGATAAGATAAGAGTCAAGAGTTATTTTGATTCACACTTCTCCTATGATTAAAGATGTTATATTTGAGGATTTTTAAAATGTCTTTCAGTCATTTTAAATTTGTCTATTGAGAGTTTTCAGTTTAGGTTTGTTGCATATATTTTAATTTTATTAATTGCTCTTTGGAGGACTAATTTATGGAGTCCTAATATTTTTTATATGGATTGATGACTGACAAAGATTTCCATATCTATAGCCAGATATGTCGATCCTATTAATTATTTCTCTAATGTTGGTGGGAGGCAATGTGCCCCCATAAAGATAATTTTGATAATTCTGTCCAGTTGTGTAAGTGCTCATGTACTGGATCAGATAATAATTTTCTGCCCCTGGAAAAGTTCCAGGCGGATCTGATTCTAAAAGATGTTTTGAGGCTGACCATTCAGCCCAGTTCAAGACCTGCTATGATGGTGCAGGCCAATAAAAAATAATGTTTTGAGGTTGGCTAATTCAGGCCAATATTTAGGCCGGTTGAAGTGACACAGGCCAATAGAATTTGCTCCTTGGAGACAGAGACCTACAGATCTCTATGTGTCCAAGCTTGCTTGGTTGTAGTATAGATCCTAAACAGCTAAGCGCATTGCTCCCAGAGACTGACGAGGGGCGCCAATTTCAATGGCGCACGCAGGCAGGATTGGCCTCAACTAGCGTCTGACAAGGTCCAGGTCATGTACTGATGTACATGGTCCGGACTGGGTTTTGATTTGGGGAAGAGAAGCAGTTTTTGTGTGTTTCCACAGGATGCAAAGCACCCCGTCCCTGAATGTCTGGTGTGGACCGTGGATTCATCTGTCCAGAGGCCTGAGGACAAAGCCTCTGCTATGGAACTGTCTGACCTGATTGCTGCGGAGCTGGCGGGTTCCTAAAAAGTGATCCAGCTCCTACCCTTGTTCTATCAGTTATTGCTGTACTGTTATTGCTGTACATTGCTATATTGTTATTGCTGTACAATTGCTGTACTGCTGGATTTCCCCTTGATTTGTCAGTTATTGCTTGCTATCAGTTTTTCTTATCTTGTCAGCTATTTCTGCTGAGCACTATGGGTATCTTCAAGGCAGGTTACAAAATGCCATGGTTGTTCAAATTAAGAATTTGGAAACTGAGGTTAATCTTGACAGATTGGACATGGTTTTTTGACCTTGCTGGTCACAGAATAGGATTTTTACTGTTTTTCATGGTCCCTGAAATACAAAATTTACTAATTGGCTGTCATTTATTCTAGTTAGCTTCCCAGGGACCTTACACCAGTGCTATTGAGACCTTACTTAAAGGGGCTCTATTCTGAGCAGAGTTTTCAGGATTGTGCCAAAGCACAATCTCCTTTGGAAATGCTTGTATATGCTGGAGCATGACATTCATGATCTCATGAAGCCGGAGTCAGGACTACTCAGGTCAAGTCCTTTTGGCATTCGCCTCAAAATATCTTTCAGCATAATCTGGCTGGACTCAATGTATGACTAGTAACCAAAGACAGGTAAGGATTGAATGGAGGAGATTCTGACCTAAGACAGAAAGGTATTTTGACCTGGAATACTTTTTCCACGACGGGTAAAGAGTCTGCCTGGCCATCACCACCTAAGACAAGGTGCTAGTCATCATATTTTATATAAAAGGGGGACTTGTGGGACCCTGTCCTCCTTGATCCTTGAGGCCAAAATACTGGATGCAAATAATGTTTACGCTAACCAGCTAAGCTTCCTGCTAGTTCCGTCCTTGGTTCTGCTACAGCCTGGTATATTAGCCTGAGGGATCTATTTTACTTTAAAATGGTAATTTCTCAACCTGCCTCAAAGAAGCTCAGGCGCCAAGGCCCATCTAACCTGTCTGACATTGCCTTAAACCCTCGACCACCTGCCTGGGGAAAAACTCCCACAGAGGCCAGTTTCCCCAGCCCCCTCTGGGTGGGAGGAGTTTTCCTTTACTGGGGCCAAAGGTATTTTAACCCTGGATTTAGTTGAATAAAGGGGCATTCTCTTCTTGAGGATGACTGGAACTCTGTATCTATGTGTGTGCGTCTTATGTTTTAACCCCTAGGACAATATGGAACTCATGGGATGTGGGTGGCGTGGAAGGACGACCCCTACATAGGAGCACTCATGTGAGTGTGAAGGATCAATCTCAAGTCTTCAAGCACAGTTATGCTCCTAACTTTGAGCCATCTATCCAATCAAAGGAACACATCCTTAACAAGAGCCAAACATGTATTTGTTCCAGGCAAAATCAGTTATGTACCCACCACCTTCTTCCCCTTACCTCCTACTCACAGATGAAATGAAGACATGACTTTAAAGTAAGAGGCTATAACAAACATTAATACTGAGAGTGACTCTCCCTGGCAGTCACAATGAGGACATGAGCTGAACAACTTAAAGAATACATTAATTTACTACATTAATTTACACTATATGTAATATGAGCTGAACAAAGACAGCAATAGACATGCTAAAGGGGGATTTGAAAAGTTCATGAGTATTCCACCCTATATAAAGTCCTTCAGTAGACTAAGAATACCTTGCTCAGCCTTGATATAGGATGAGGGGTGGGGCACAGGCTTGGTCCTGCCCTAAGTTGTTGCGCCAGACTTTGTTGACTTCCGAAGGATGTCTTTACCCACTCTGGGGAATTGATGGAAGGTGGGAATAAGGGGGATGTAGGGAGGTGGGAGAAGGGAAGGGAGGGGGAACTGTGATTGGTTTGTTAAATGAAAAGTATATTTTTTAAAGTAAAAATGTGAAAAAAGAAAATAAAAAAGAATTTATAAGAGAGGCATAAATGATCTTTTTTCTATTTTTTTTTATTTTCAATACATCCTGAGTACAGATTTTCACTCCTTTCACTCCTTCATGCTTCCCCCATCCTACCTTCCCCAGATCCACTTCTCCTCCTCTGTTTTTTTTTTCAGAAAAGAGCAGACCTCCCTGGGAAATCAACTGAACATGGTATAATAAACCATTCTATCAAGGCTGAGCAAGGCAACCCAGTATGAGGAAGAGGGTCCCAGGGGCAGGCAAAAGAGTCAAGAGATATATCTTCCCACTCCAACTGCTAGGAGTCCTACAGAAACATAAAGCTAATACCCATAACATATATGTAGATGATCTAGTGTAGTCCTACGCTGGAGAGATGGTTCTTCACTTAAGAACACTGGCTGCTTTTCCTCAGGACCCAGTTTCAATTCCCAGTGCCAACATTGGGTAGATAACAGGAAATCTGACACTTTCTTCTGGTGACTGCAGACACCTGCAGTCACATGCACATATCCACACATCTATATGTAATTAAAATGAAAAAGTCTTAAAAGGAAGAACCCATTCAGAAATGATATTATAAGGACAAGATTCTTCCCATTCAGTGTTCCGGTTTGTAGCTCAACAAATTCATTTTAAAAAGTTTCTTTCGAAAAGAAAAAGCCCATGAAGACAGAACCTGCAGAGTGGCCTTCTCAAAAGGGATCACACAAAGAAGTGTTTTCAGTTCAAGATACAGGCACTCAGAGGCTGCTATAATGTTTGTAAAGAAGATTTAGAGTTTATCTTGAGCTGGTCTCAAAATTTTTGGTCATGTACATGATTTTGCATTTGCCAGAATATAAAATAAGAGTTATGGGGCCACCAAAATTTTCACCAGAGTTCCAGAGAAAAGGAGATAAGGCCAGTCACTGAGGACCAGGTTTGGATTCCCAGCTCAGAGGAGTTCACTCTGCAGCTGTGAATGTGAATCCAAAGTGCCAGTGAGGATTCCAGAATGTTAGAGATGCTTCAAATATATGATGTCTACTAAGGAGAGCTGCAGGCACTGTGTGGAAACAGCTGGAGAAACACTACATGCTTTCATTCGACAACACCAGGGATGGAGGTGTGGATTCTTAGGTGCACTTGAGTGCCGATACTGCTGCCTTGGGGTCCACACTCCAGATCTGAAGCTGAGGAGTCTGATCCTTGTTTTATCAGGTTTCATTATTGTTTGGTCTGGACTGTTCTTTCTCTCTTCTTGCTTCTTGTTCTTGAAATGGGAGAGTTTATACCATATCATTGTACACTGGGAATGTGTAATTTGTATTGACTTTACCAAAAGTCTCAAAGGAGACTTTGATATTTTGAGTAGTGTAAGACTCTGGATAATTTTCACATTTAACTATACACATTTTAATCATGAGATGACCATGATTCCATGGTGTCCAAGAGTGGGATGTTGTGTTTCTAATGTGAAATATCCTCTATAGGTTTATAAGCTTGGACATTAACCACCAGCTAAGTGGCACCGATTTCAGAGATTTTGAGACATAGGATACAAAGCTGAATTGGTTCAGTCATAGTCTGCCATTGTCAGATCTTTGAAGATTGTAGTTTTGAACCACTTTGCATTCTACACCTGGCTTAATGATCTGACATTATCTGAAGTGCTCTAGTCCCATGCTTCTGTCACCATGAACTTTCCTATGCCTAAATTGACATAACTGAATCAATCAAACTTGCCTTGTCATGATGGACTCAATCAAACCTCCCCTGTCACAATGGTGGATGCCACTTTAAAGCCATGGGACATGAGCACTCCTTCTTTGTTCAGGTTGCTTCCAGCAGGTATATAGTCACCAGGATAAGATGTGTAATTAATACATGCTATTATCTCCCCTCCATCTCCAACTTATTATCATGTGTTTTTATTATGTTGTTTGGGAGATTTTCATCCTATTAAGTTTACAAAAAAGAAAGGGTAAAGAGATGACAGTATTACAGTCCTTGCTCATAAATTTGTCAAGGAAAATTTATCTTACTTTGTTTTTATTTAAAATTAAAGCAATCTATAACAATACTTTGAACAAAAGGAATAAATTATCTACGACATTATCACTGTGACCATCCATGTTAAAAAAGTTTATAAAATCCGTCATTATAAAAAGTATTGTGCTTTATTAAGAGAATTATTACATTGAAACCTAAAGAATATAATCCTGAAACTGGATTTTTCCTCTATGATATAGAACTAAGAAAAACAAAAAACTGTACTCAGTCTGCTGAACATTGGAATGAAAACTGACTCTTTGGAACAAAGTCCAGAGTCCACTTCTATATTAGCATGTAAATAATATGGAAGTCAGACAATTTATTTATCTTTGTAGGGCTTGTAATTATGATGTCCTGCCAAATGAGGTCAACCCACCTTGGTTGTTTTGTGCTGTTGTGGTAATTATTGTTGGAATACAAGAACCCTAATTCAGAAAAGGATTGTATTCTTTTAGAGAGTTGTTGCTTCAAGAGCTATTATTTGCTTGAATAAGTTCATGGTCTGGTTAATGTTGACCCAGGCAAGGAATGCTCAACTCACTTTCAAAGACCAAAATAAAGCTTAGTAGATTCCCACAGAGGAAGTGTCATATTGCCAGGTCTCACAATTCTAGTCTTTAGGTATGTGAGAGTACATCTGTGGCCATTAAATTTGTGAGAATTTCTCCTAGCAGCAAATGGAACAGTTCTATGCCAGAGACTCATTTTCTCAGCTTTCAATATGTTTCCTGATTCTTTTCAAGCCAAAATAATATAAAACTCTTTTAACAGGTATCCAAGGCCATTGCTACTCTAATAAAAAAGGACAAATCCCAAATATATAAAAAGGTATCAAAATTCAAGTCAAACATTTTGAAATCCTCCATTAAAGGTATTACATTGTAAAGGATGGCATAGAATCTTTATTAGAACAAAACAACATAACTTTTCCAGATTAATATGTATGTAGCTGAGTTGGGTCTATGCATTATTTGCATACACAATATATATGTGGCCATTTTATAATTTAAGCAGACAGTCTTTTTCTTGTCTTTTTCATTGATGCTTGTTTTTATGAGGGTTCTCTGAAGACTGAACATATATCTTGTGTTTCATTTATTCAAAAATATTTATCACTGAAATATAGCTCTAGGTAGAGCAGATGTTTTCTAGTGTTTATGTATATTTTATTAGGTATGTGACA